CTTTCGGCAACTAATGCGCTTAGACTTCCACAACGTGGAGTCGATGGCGAAGTTTGTAATAGCATGCTGCACCATTCATAACCTTTGTATTGATAGGAACGACTTTATTGCCCTTGATGCAACAAATAGCCAGACTGAAAATATTTCCATTGAAAGAGGCGATAGGAGGGACTATTTGCTTACACAGCTGGGAGCCATAAAACGAAACGAACTGAAAGACTACTTTTTCCAACAACAAACAGATTAAATATATTAAAATAAATTCTTGTATTTTTCAAAAATTTATTCAGGTAGTTCAAGCATTTTCTTTCTGCGATCAAAATAATAGCATCTTAACATTTTGACCAGTTTTGACTATTTTTCTTTTGTTTATTTAATGTTTATTATTTGTTTATAAAAGTTTAGCTAGTTGTACAACAAACACCTTATAACTTCACACTCCAAACTTAGTACAAAATTTATAAAAATACGGCAGGAAAAAACATTTTTTTTTTATAAATATTCTATGTAAAAAGTTTGAAATTTTCGTGAAACTTTACAGAATTTTTATAATTTTTGTACGAAAGTTGGAGTGCGAAGTCATATGGTGTTTGTTCTACCACTGGCTAAACTTTTATAAACAAATAATAAACATTAAATAAACAAAAGAAAAATAGTCAAAACTGGTAAAAATGTTGAGGTGCTATTTTCTTACAGGCACTGTATATTCTAATATTTAAATATGTATCAACGGTTTTTGTGAACAAATAAATAATTAAAAGTACTTCATAAAAATTAAAATATCACTTCAAGTCTATTAGTTAGTATTAAGTGCAATTAGGTACGTCTTCAGGTAACTTCCATTGCGTTCAGATTTGCTCTTCCTCTATTACATTTCCGTGAAGGAAGTTAGATATAAGTTCCTTGAATATTGTTAAAAGCTTCCATTCTTTCTCTGTGACGCCGCTCGCGCGCCTCCTCTTTTTCTCTTGAAATACTTATTAACGTCTCCTGCACAGAAACCAGTTTCCTTTTAGCAACATTTTTGCTTGTTGTTGGCACATCTACGCTTTTTGTTACTACCGCCTGGCTACTCATTTGAACTTCTGGTCATCAATTGCGGCTATGGTTTCGAGCTCTTGGGCGAACTCGATTCTCTGCCTCTTAGCTCCAGACGTATGGTTGTTTTCTACCGCTGTTTTCTTCCTTTTTATCAAAGTTTTATACCTATCCTCGCATTGCTTTGCCGTTCTTCCTTCAATCTCTGTAGATATCCTCACCCACATTTCTTTTTTGTTACGCATGGCTTTCATCGGACCAATTTCAGGCAGGTAGCTCCTGTACTTATCGAGCAGAAGTCGCGTTTCACCTTCTGTCCACACTGCAATCACAACACATTTATTTTTATTATTTGCAATGCGAAGAAATTGTGTGCTATTTATACTTACTAATTATGCGCTTAATGCACAGGCTCTCATTTGTTTCCTCCTCCATTATAAATACTATTTCCTTTTATGTTTTAGTATAAATATTATTTGCACCGATCAATTCCAAAAAATAATAAACACACAAAGTACCAAACAGCTGATTTGTGACAGGGTAGCCTTTTATCTGTTTCATTCTCATATAAAGAACGCAGCATTTTCTCAGGTTTGAGGGCAGCACAAAGCAAGAGAAAACGCTATAAGCTACTTGAACAATTATATTCTTCAAGCGCTTACTTCGCATGTTCCTATTAAAACTTCGGTGATCAGATCTTCGTCTTGCCCTTGGTTTAACGATATAGTTCGAGCGGTTATCAAAAAGCGAAATATGTGATACTCCGCATGGAAAAGGAATCGCACAGATAGAGGTGTGCTTTTAAGGCAATAAGAAATGAAGCGACACTGACTATAAGACGTGAAAAAAGAAAGTTTTTTGTTTTTTGTTTTTCTACGTTTTGCTTTTATGTGGCAAGCACAATAACCGTACCGGGTTTGGTACAAATTGGAAGAACGGTTACCGAGATACATATATGTGATCATAAGTGGGCGGTGCCACGCCCATTTTCCAAAATTTTATCATAAACGTATTTCTTGGTAAAGAATTGTTGCAAGCATCAATTTAGAATAAATTAGCTTAAATATTTGCCGATTTATAGAAGATTTTGTATTTCTCTAAATTACCGTTATATGGGACGTGAGCGTGGTTATTGTCCGATTTTAAAAATTTTGTATGCTGTTCCAAGGTCAACAACTGTGCCAGGTTTGGAAGAAATAGGTGCACCGGTTACCAAGATATACAAATGTAATTTGGCTACGCCCATTTTCCAAAAGTTTATAATATGTATTCTTATTTTTCGTCTAAAATGTATTGCAAATATCAATTTTGAGTGAATAATCTTCAGTAGTTACTAAAATATCGCAGTTTTCGTATTTCTGAAAATTACCATTATATGGGAAGTGGGCGTGGTTACAGTCCGATTTCGGCCATTTTCAATACCAACCTACCTTGGATAAATGGAAACCTACATACCAAATTTCGTTGAGATATCACAACTTTTGCTCGAGTTATCGTGTACACGGACGGACGGTCAGACGGACGGACATACAGTCATGGCTTAATCGACTTCTCTATTGCTTCGGAGCATTTATGTATACATTTGTCTATATCTAGCTCGATTCGTTTTGGCTGTTACAAACAACCGTCATGTGAACAAAGTTAATATACCCTTGTGCACAAGTGCGTTCGGGTATAGCAATTTGTAAAAGCGATTTTTTGATGCAGTCTACTTCTATTTGACACATAAATCATGGCTCCATAGTCTCGCCCCTAAATTTCATTTTGGCAACATTCCGCCATCTTGAATTTTATTTTTTTTTGCGATTTGCAAGCTTATTTTGCCTTTTTGTAAAAAATGGTTCAATACAAATATATAGAGAAATTTATTTCCCACATTTCTTGTATAGAAAGTTTTTTAAAAAGAGAATTTTTTATTGTAAAAAACGAGCAAAAACTGCAAAAAAATTTTACATTGTCACGGTTTTTGCCATTTTTGACAATATCTGTTGAAAATACATAGCATATTGAAATTCAAAAGTTGTATAGAATTTCATTCTTCACAACTTGTATACCTACATTTGTTTTGTATGACGCTTAGATCACGGCCGGGAACGTGCGAAACATAGCGATTATCCCAGAAAAATTAGTTAAATTTGGTAGGAAAATTAAAAAAAAAAATTGTAACTGCGATTTTTTTATGCAGTTTACTTCTATTTACCACTTAGATCGTGAAGCCATAGTCTCGCCCCTAAATTTCATTTGGCAACATTCCCCCATCTTTGATTTTATTTTTTTTGGGGTTTTTGCGATTTGCAAGCTAATTTTACATTTTTCATAAAAAATGGTCGAATACAAATATGTAAAGAATTTAATTTCCCACATTTTTCATATAGAAGGTTTTTTAAAATAACATTTTTTATTGTAAAAAATTAGCAAAAACTGTGAAATAATTTTACATTGTCACGGTTTTCGCCAGTTTTGACAATTCCAGGGTTGTAGAGAATTTTATTCTCCAAAACTTTTGTGCCAACATTTTTTTTTGTACGACGCTTAGATCACGGCCGGGAACGCGATACACATTGCGATGTATGGGATGCGCCGTATAACTTCATTTCCACACCTTCACCTGCTTTCATTAAAAAAAACAAGTAAGAAAGTCTAAGTTCGGGCGGAGCCGA